GAGAACCTGTCACTTCGCCCCCTTTATACAGACCATGTCAGGTCTCTAAATAAATAAAACTGGAAGAAGAGGGATTATGTTCACTTTTCCATAGCCCCGTGTCTCCTAGCTTTCCAGCCTCCGTTCCAGCCTCCATCAGACTCTTCGGCATCCAAAACTTCCAGGTAGGTTGAATGCCAGTTGAAGGCTGTGGTTTCGGTTTCCCCATTCCAACCCTTACATCACTACAAGGTACAGAAGTGACATTAGATTCCGGGGAAGGAACCACAGCACGCACAGGGGACACCTGCACCTGACAGTCCCGGAAGTGTCAAATGTGGAAGGATGCTGCAACAGGAAGGAGGCATGGGCAGCCAGAGAGACGTCTATAACCAAGTGTGGGCACAGGGCCTAATTTCCCACATGGCCAACCAAGGCCCGGCCTCGGGGGCAGCAGGGAGTAGAGGGGCAGCAGGGGTATGGAATTCCTATCTCCAGATGCCTGGTACATGCAGTTCCGGGCACCGGGCAGGTAGTTGTTTTCTACATTTAGCCCTGCTCTGGGCAGGCAGAGCTAAATGTATAGCGGGGGAGCCACTGCTTGTTTTGTACAAGTGATCCCGGCGATGTCACTGAGATGAGATCACTTGTATGCAGCCTGCAGGTCTGCCATTCTCCATGGGGTGGTTGTCAGGTAGGGGGGTGCATTGAGAAACATGGCCTTGGGGCAGCAGAGAGAGTAAATCCGGCCCTGGGTGAGCAACCAAGCGTTATGGAACAACAAGCCCCATGAGACACTGCAAGACTCTGAAAGCCACAGGCCTGACTCCCAGAGACACGATGGGTGATGTAGTTTCACCACAGCTGAGGTCTCTTATCCTTGTACGATCCCTCTTCTTTCAGGGGAATGCCGGTTACACACCTGACAAGGATTCTTTTACCACATACTTAAAGGAGAACTATGAGGGGGGAGGGGCTTTTCACTCACCTCATAGTTCTAGCCGACCTGTGACAATGAGACTGTCACAGGTCGGCTCAGTAGATCGGGAGGTGAGTGAACACATACCGGCATTCGCTCACCTCTCAATCCTGTCACGGCTCTCTGCCGTGACAGGGGAGGGACTGGATTCCCCCCTCCCCGCTCCGTTCCTCCAGCGCTGACTGGCGGAACGCACGGGGAGGGGGCGGGTACAGCTGGCTCTGCCTCTAGATAGGCAGAGCCAGCTGTCACTCACGCAGCTGGGCGGATCCGCTTCAGCTGCGGCGTCTCAGTATACCGCGAGCAGCAGCTCGCTATATACTGAGCTTAGGGTGACGGGAGGACGCTAGTTTGTGTCCTCCCGTTACCCTAAGGAGAACTATGGGGAAAA